GCGGGAGGGAGGCCGCTGGCTGCTGGGGAAAGGAAGCGTCGGGGCAGGAGCTGGCCCACGGCTGCCCGTGTGGCCGTCAGGGAGGTGGGAAGGCTCTGCGTGCCTCAGTTTCCCTCGTCCAGGATGCGCTGGGTGCAGCAGGAGAGTCCCCAGGTGTTGGGTGGCCTGGGAGGGCCCGGCTGCCCTGTGCTGGGGCTGCTGTGCTCTGGGGGTGCTCCAGAGGCATTGGCCTGGAGGACGGAGCCTGCGGAGGAAGGAAGGGGTTCCCAGCCCGCGTGAAAGCCTTGTTCCCCCGTACCTGAGCAGGCAGGTCCCAGAAGTGGGCATCGTGCACCCACAGCAGCCCCGAGGAGCTGGGCCAGCACCCTGCACCCTGCTTCTGGGGAGCAATGGCATGTTGCCGGGGTGCTGTGGGCAGGGTTGGGTGCCAGGCGAGGACTGGGAGCGGGGCAGCCCCGGGGAGCAGCTCCCCTGCCCACGGACCCTTGCATGGCCGGTCCTTCCCTGTGCTGGGCTCCAGCTTTGGTGTCTTTTCCCCTCGGTTGCTTCTAGACCCTCCCCCATTTCCCCCCACGCACCCTTTAGTACAAGAAGCCTTTTTTTATTATTAATAGCTATTGAGAGCCAATAAAAAGTTTTATGGGGTTTGGCCAAGCGTCAGGCCTTGCAGTGTGCTCATTTCCTGCAGTCTGAGCACTGGAGGGGCGTGGGTTTGCTTGTTTAACCCACAGGTAGCAAGGACACGCTCGGTGGGCATCAGGGGAGCCCCGAGAGGAGCAGAGGAAGGTGGTGAGAGGAGGAGCGGGGCTGGAGGGGGGAGCAGGGAGGAGTGGGGGCTGCCTCCCAGCTCGGCTCGCTCGAAACACAGCAAGGGCTGAGCTGGGAGCAAATGAACGCTGGGGGGAAGCGGGGTGTGCGTGCGTGTTTCGGTCGGTCTGTCTCACGTGGCCTCCCAGTGCGCACCCGGCTCCTGCTTGGTCCTCCATGCTTCCCAGCCCGTGTTTGCCTTCCTGGCTGTCCTGCTCCTGGCACGCTCCGCCTGCCTCCGCGCGAGCGTCCCTGCCAGGAGGGACCGAGCCTGACCTCCCCCCCGGCAGCTCCGGTGGGAGTCGCGGGCGAGGGAGAGCACGGCTCCATCTTGGGAACCTGATTCCCTGAGCACGGAGCTGGTCGACAGCAGTTGTCATCCCACCCCTGCGGAAGGGAGCGAGGGGCTCGTTTGGCCTCGGTGTTGGGCTGTGCCCGTGTGGACGCCGTCCGCTGCACGGCAGGGGACCTGTGTGGAGCCGTTGTAGAATCATGGGACAGTTTGGGTTGGAAGGGACCTGGAAAGGTCTCTGAGTCCAACCCCCCTGGAACGAGCTGGGGGGTGCACGTGGGAAGGAGCTCCCTGCTCTGAGGGGCTGAGGGGGTTCCTGATTTACACCACTGCCAGCCTCACCGGGAAGCGCTGGGAGCTGCACACATGAGGTAGGCGAGGTGCTGCATGAACGTCCGCAGCCATCTGTTACTGTCAGCGGGTGTCACGGTGCCTTTTGCCCAGGCTGTGGCCCTGTTGGCCACTGGTCCTCGCTCGGAGCTTTGCAGTTAAAATCCAGGTTTGTTAGCGAGAGCAGAGGAAGCAGCGGCAATCAGGAGCTCGCCACGGAGGGAAGCGGGGTATCAGTAGGCCCTGGGTTCCTCCTTGCCAGGGTCCGTTTTACCCCAGCACGGCAGGCCTGTGCGGGCTGTGGTGGGAGCCCTGAGCGTGGTCATTCCCCACACACACGCTGCTGCGCAGAAACGGGGTCCTCTCCCACGCGTCCTGGCGCAGGAGCCCTGGCACAGAAGTCCCGGCCCAGCCGCAGCCGGGGCCGGTGCGGGGGGGGGC